AGAGTACTAACAGTGCCATGTTGCACATGGATGGTGTCCCTGTTTGTACTTTTGTTGTGCATTGCCAAGGCCACATTGGAGCCCTTTATTACGGCTTAGGGTTTATTAGTGGAAATAAGGCAATTGCTTGGGCTATAAAACAGTGTACTGAGTACTATCTATGTTTCGAGTCAAGTTCTTTAACAAATTTAAAAATGAATAAAGTAACAAAAACTATAAAACACAAAAAACCACAGTCATCACCAAGTTCGCTAAACCTATCATTTACCAATATTTGTGGTCTTCGAAGTAACTTTTCTTCTGTTGAGTCTTATCTCTTGCAAAGTTCACCAGACCTACTTGCTCTTTGTGAGACTAATTTGAGTTCAGCTGTCTCATCTTGTGATCTTAGTGTTGATGGTTATCTTCCTTTGATTCGTAAAGACTCCATTAGTCACATGCTTGGCCTAGGCATTTACATTCGTAAGAATTCCCCCATTTGACGTGAAACTAGGTTTAAATCCACAGACTACTCTTTTATGTGCTTTCGCTTAGCACCACTTTACTCTATCACCTATCTTTTTGTTCTATATCGCTCTTCTTCATCTCAAGACTGCACTCTTCCTGATGTTATTTCTGACTATATTGACCAAGCCCTCATTCTTTATCCATCAGCCAATATTGTTGTTGTCGGTGACTTTAATGTTCATCACACTGAATGGCTTGGCTCTAGTCTCAGTGACTCTGGAGGCATTAAGGCCCACAACTTTCGACTTTCTCAATCCCTAACTCAAATAGTCAACTTTCCGACTCGTTTTCCAGACAACCCGAATCATTTACCTTCTCTACTCGACTTATGTCTTGTTTCTGATCCTACTCAGTGCTCAGTTTCTTCACACTCATCCTTTGGTGCTTCTGATCATGGTTTGGTCTCTATTAAACTATTATCTCATTCTTCTTTACCATCACAATTCCCCTATCATTGTACATCTTACAACTACCATAAAGCTGACTGGGACTCTTTCCGTGATTTTCTTCGTGACGGCCTCTGGGTAGAAATCTTTCGTCTCCATGTTGACAAGTGTGCTTTTTACATAACTTCGTGGATTCAGGCTGGAATGGAATCCTTTATTCCCTCTCGACGATTCAAGGTCAAGCCTCACTCTTCTCCATGGTTTTCCTCACATTGTGCTGCTGCAATTGCCAATCGAAACCATTACTTCCATATATTTCAGCAAAACAATTCTCCAGAAAACAGACGCCTGTTTATTACTGCTAGAAACCATTGTAAAAAGGTTTTGTCTGATGCCAAAGCCCGCTATTCTCAGATCATGAAATCTCGTATTTCATCACAAAAATTAGGCTCTCGTGACTTCTGGAGAATCTTTAATAGTATTAATAATAAGGGCAAGTCTGTAATTCCACCTCTTTTGTATGGTTCAGACTTCGTCACCTTACCTAAAGACAAAGCTGAATTGTTTGCCAAGAACTTTTCGTCAATATCATCTTTTGATGCCACTAGTTGCGTTCTACCTGATATAGACGTCAAACAGGTTGATCCATTGCTCGACATTTGTATCACGTCAGCTTCTGTATCTAAAGTTATTTCCCGCTTAGACTCTTCTACAGCTTGCGTCCCAGACAACATACCTGTTATAGTCTTGCAGAAGTGTTCTCCGGAGCTGTCGTCTATCCTTTCAAAACCATTTAACAAGTGCTTATCAGAGTCTTGTTTTCCAGCCTGCTGGAAAGCAGCATCTGTTATCCCTATTTTTAAAAATTCTGGAGAGCAATCCGATTCGTTAACTACCGTCCCATTAGTCTTCTTCCTATCATAAGTAAGGTTTTTGAATCTTTAATTAACAAACATAACCTACTTTCTGATCATCAATATGGATTTCGATCTTCTCGTTCTACGGCTGATTTGCTAACAGTAATAACCGATAGGTTTTATCGCGCATTAGATAAAGGTGGAAAGGTTAAGGCCATTGCTCTTGACATTTCTAAAGCGTGTGATTAAGTTTGGCATGCTGGTCTTCTCCATAAGGTTTCTACTTACGGTGTATCTGGAAACATCTTTAAGATTATTAAATCCTTCCTTTCCAATCGTAGTATAAAAGTTGTCCTTGATGGACAGCACTCTTCTTCTTATTCTGTAACCTCAGGGGCTCCTCAAGGTTCAATCCTTGGCCCTATACTCTTTTTAATTTACAATAACGAACTTCCAGATATTCTCACATCTAAGGTGGCATTGTTCGCTGATGATACTACCATTTATTCTTGTCACAATAAGAAGCCAACTCCCTCTGATTGCTTGCAGGGGGCATCTGAGCTTGAAAAGGATCTCACTTTTGCAACAGCATCAGGCTCACAGTAGCTGGTGAACTTTAATTCAAATAAAACTCAATTTTTTTCGGCCAATTGTTATCGCAATAGTTTAGACCTTCCTATATTTATGAACGGTAATGTACTGAATGAGTCTCCTACCCTTCATCTTCTAGGATTAACTCTCACTTCTGATCTTTCTTGGAAACCTTATATCAAATCCGTTGCAAAATTAGCATCTGCTAAAGTTGCATCTCTTTATCGAACTTGTCACTTTCTTACTCTGGATTCTATTCTCTATCTCTATAAATCTCAATCACGTCCTTGTATGGAATACTGTTGCCATATCTGGGGCGGATCTTCTAATGATGCCCTTTCTCTTTTAGACAAGGTGCAAAAACGCATTGTAAACATAGTTGGACCTGCTCTTGCAGCCAACCTTCAACCTCTGTCACATCGTCGTAATGTTGCTTCTTTTTCTTTTTTCTACAAATACTATAATGGGCACTGCTCGAAAGAGCTTGCGTCTCTTGTGCCATCTACTAAAATTCATTCTCGTGTTACTCGTCATTCAATTAAGTCTCATCCTTTTTCTGTTAGTGTTCTTAAGTGCTCTAAAAATTCTTATTCCTCTAGTTTTTTTCGTCGAACATCAGTTCTTTGGAATTCGCTTCCTTCATCTTGCTTTCCTGATTCAATAATTTGCAATCTTTTAAGTCGTCTCACGGCTGTTTCAATCTATGTAAAAGCGAGCTTGACGTCACAATAATTTTTGTGTTTAAAAAAAAAAAAAATTCTGCATAAAAAGTATAAAATTCACTAACTTTAAATTAATAGTATTTTTTTTCTATAAACGCTTTTATCTTGGAATTAAAAAAATATAAAAGAACTAACTTTCTTCGTTAAATAAATATTTACATGAAACGAAATAAAAATAAGCATTATTAAAATATTTTAAATGATTTTGGATCACTTTTCTATTTTTTGCGTATTTTACGGAAAACCTGTCTTGGGCTACATGCTTGATGATTGAAATTATATATACTTATAAACGAATGTCTTTTTTATCAGATTTTTGGAGGGCATAGATAAAAAAAGTAGTTTTAGTTAGTTTTTTTAGCATTATTTTTTTTGTTTTTACTTGTTTTATATAAAAAACGTTTAATTTTTATTATGCTTTCCAAATTATTGAAATTTCAACCCTCTATGCACATGAAAATCAAAAAAAATACTTTCTGTACTTCTAACTAAAACGTCTTCAACCTTGGTAAACTTTGTTGCTTTTAGCAAATATTTGTATTTACATGCGTAAAATTTTTGTTTATGTTTTAAAGCAATGACGTAACTTTAAATGCGTTAATTCCCAATTCACTATGTAATTAAATTTATTAAAACAACTTTTTTAGCGAGACAAATTTTAGTGTATAAATAAAAAAAACTTTGGCGGTTTTTTTTCTCTCGTGGCTAATCTACAAACATCAGATAATTTGTAAAATCCTCAAATATCTATTGCATACTTGTTATTTGTCAGTAATTATTATTTGATTTTATTTGTTTGTATTATATTTGTATAAAGAAGTTTATTTATCACTATGCATTCTAGTGAAAGCGAGATACTAATACTATACATTGGATGCTTAAAAGCTTAAGCTTTAAATTTTTAGGCATTAAGCTTTAGTTTTAAATTTTTTAACATTTAAGTAAGATTTTTTTGTTTTTATAATAGTCCAACAATGTGTATATTTAATAATAATTATCGAAAATATATTCTTTTTGAGTTTTTTTTTGATAAAAAGTAACATCAAATTACTAATTTTAAACTAAGTTCAACATTTGCCGCGTTTATTCTAAAATTAAAGAAGTTTTTTAATATATCTGTAAAACGCCATCAAATAAAACATTTTATTGGTGTTTTTATTCTTTTTACAGAACAAAATTATCTCTAATGTTTCAAAAGTTATAAAAGTTTTAGTAACACCCCTTACGTGAATACTTTCAAATAACAACAAGAAGCCGTAAAGCTCGCTTGAAACAACCGTGGTCTGTCTTGCTCTACAATCTTCATATTTTCTCTTCCAGAAACTTCCAACACTAATTAGTGGTTGCTTGCAGCCTTGTTGGAAGCGAAGATAATTAAAAAAAAAAAATATATATATATATATATATATATATATATATATATATATATATATATATATATATATATATATATATATATATATATATATATATATATATATATATATATATATATATATATATATATATATATACCACTAGATCAACTTTGAGTCGACAGCAATAAAATACCCGCGGAAAGTCGACGCCTCAAAAATCAGTATAACTTTATCAATTAAAATTTTTTTTTTTCAAAAATTAATGAAATGGCTTCTTGTTCAATTGGGAATTAAATATTTTAAAACTTTTCTTCAATTTTCAATGTCAAGTCGACTTAACGTTCTCGAGAAATTTTTTTTTATTAAAAGTTGACTTTAACTTTTTTTTTTATTAGATCTCCTTAAAGTCGACAATAAAAAAATGCGCTCCCCGCGGGATAACAATTCTTATAAATACACAGGCCGAGGTGAAAAAAAGTGTGTATTTTTGTGTCACTGGTATCGCCATGGTTCACAAAATTAATTAAAAGGTTTTATAAATGAAACTTTAAGGGAAAAAGTTAATTGAAAAAACATTACTTCAAAGTATAATTTTTATTCGGAACTGTTTTAAATTAACTTTAAAAAAATAAGTTTTAATGTCGTTAGAACTTCGGAAAAGGTTCGCATCTTTTATGCTATTTCGTTAATGATTTTGTTTTCAACAGTGTCTGAGCTAGATCTGTATTTTGATCCAAACTTAATAATATCTTGTCGACCTGAAATAGAAAAGATATGTGCTGTAATTTGAAATAAAGATACAAAGTTATCTACTCAAATCAAAAGTAAAAAAAGAATAAATCAGCACCTTGTGACAAGTGATATAAATTAAAAAAAGTTTATGGATTATTTTAACATTTACCCTTAATTTTTTGTTTTATTCCATCTTATTTGATAAAAATTAACCACAATATTGTATTAAAAAGATAAATCTTTTTAATACAATATTATTATACCTAATCAGGGTATCCAAGTAAATGCATTAAGTGATACCCTGTGATTAAACTAACATACTTCAGAAATCTTTATAAAAAACACTCTCTCACTTATATTGTCCTTTTGATTATACCTACGACTTAAATAAGATTTATAGAACTTTTATAGCTACTCACAAGACTCAAAAGTTTTCACATATGTAGAACTTTCTCAAATGCTCTTAAATTTTACCCATCTCTTTGCCCTTATGTCTAAACATACTCTTGATACAATAAAATAAAAATTGAAAAAAATAAAAACATCTTTATTAAAAGTTGAATTGTCAAAATTTGCTCCATAGTTATACACAAAATAACTATTTAAGTATTTGCTTACAGTGCACATATAAGTATTATTCACTATATTAGAGGAACTATATTTGAAGTGGAGGAGCCAATTTAAGTTTATTAATAAGGTAAAATAAAATAAATAAGCTATTTGATTATTATGTAGGCTATTTTTTTCTACTCTTGTATTGAAGGCACAGCCCACTTTGTACCACCATTTTAGCTGCTATTGAAGAAAACTTTCAATTTAATCCCTAAAGTAATATAACCTTAAATAACAATTTTTTTTTCATAGTCTAATGTGATCATTAACATTTAAAAAAAATCTTCAAAATAAAAAAAAAAAGTTGTAATATATAAATAGAGTCAGATTATCTGGTGTATACTTTGCTATAAAACTTGAGACTGAGACAGAACTTTTTTCAGTTTTATTTATTTGATAATCATTAGTTTGAAAATGGAACTACAATTTGCTTGAACTGCTTTCATATTCAGTAAAAAAAGTTTTCATTTGTATTTTTTTTAAACTTGAGTACAGAATATTGATAAAAGTTATTTAATTATCAATTAAAAATAGTCATATAAAAAATAACTTGATATACATATAAAACTTTAATTGTTTTTTAAATTTATTTGTTTTATTTATAACATATAAAAACATGCCAAAAAAAAATTAAATAGTAAATAAGATATATACCTAATTCATTTAAACTGCTTGCAGTGCTACTCTTAACTTTAATTGCTTTTAAAAGTCTTGCTTTACATCTTGTTAAAAAAACTTTAGTAAATTTTATTGTGTTCTTTTGTTTTTCTCATAACAATATTTCTTGCAAAAAATAAAAATGGCTACTTTAAAAACTATTCAAACAAATCAAAATCTCTTTATATATATACAGGAGTTTTGATAAAAAGCTCCAAGACACTTTCCCTATAAAAAAGATAGTAAGCTGCTGAAGTTTGATAGTCATTTCAGCATCCGAAACCGTATAATCAGCTATTAGTGTAGCAAGGCGATGGCAATTATTTGTACAAGATCACGTTAAGTTGCCTTATTATATTTTTAGAATATTTTATTCAAAACAGAATTTTTGTAAAAATCGTGTTCTAGAATAAATAGCGTTTTTGCTGAAACTCCAACCTGACTACTAATATCAGCCAAACCTAACAACTTTACTTTAATTGTATCTCTAGGAATTAAGACAGGAGAGGAACAACTAAACCCACTTCCAGACTGATAATTAATCTTCATTCTACATTCTAATTGATTTTCAGATAATGCATTTTTTATTCTTTGTTCATTTAATCATATATTGTTCAAGGCATTTTTATGTTCTTTACTTGTAAGTCTTGCAGGTATGCCAACTTGCCTACCATAAAATATAGTTAACTTGATACAATCATAGTTTCTTAATTTAATAAAGGAAGGTGAATGCGTTATTTCCTGTTTCCTAGTTAGTCTTGCTTTCTATTTAGTCTTGTTTTCTATCTTGTATTCTATTCTATACCAGTAGTCATGCATTCTCTTAACTAAACCATTGTAGATCACAAATATAAGAGTGTTTTATCCACTACAATATGGCGAACAAAACTATCTTGTCAACTGTTAAATAAGTAATAATAACTATCTTATAATATATAGATCTAATTACTATACTAATGCGTCTAATAACTAATTATAAGACACTTGTATATTACTAGTAATTATTAGTTATTAGACATTAGTTATAGATAGTATTATTCTGTATGATACTGGCGTTATAGTTTAGGCAGGAACAACTTTATAGAGTTTAAGACTGCTAACAGTCAAAAACTCTTTATAGTTATTCCTGCCTAAACTATAATACCTGTACCATAAAGATTAATACTGCTAGTAATACTAGCAGTACTAATCTGAACGCATATGAAAAGTCAAATACACTAGTAGTATATTAGACTTCTAATAGGTTGTCTAGTTTACTATATAGCAATAATATTTCCTTCATAAAAGCACTTAAATATTTCGAAAAATAGAAAAAAGTTTTAAAATAAGATTCTTAAAGTTAGTGTAAAAAAATAAAAAGGTTCAGCTACAATATAAACAAACAATATAAACATAAAAAATTTTCAAAATAAAGAAATCAAAACAAAAACATTCATAAAAAACAACAAGTTTCCGGGAAAAGCGACTCCACATGGTAAGGAAATTCGTTTGAAATACGAGAAAAATGAAAATGACTTAAAATAAAACTGTATATCTCCTATATTTCATATATATGTTGTATTTGCAATGATATCCGTTAATAAACTCTCAAAACTTTAACTGAGTGACAGAGAAAACATTTTTAACTCCATAACAGCATGATATATACAGTTATACTTCATAATTTTCAAGATATTAAGTGCCGTCGACCTTACGTCGATATTTTGAATTTGTTTACATATATAAGCTTAAAATGAGATATTTAAAAAAATACTCATCGACGGCAGTTAAAAAAAAACAAATTTGTATTTTTAATCAAAAACTACTATATTTCATTGAAATAGAAAAAAAAAACTTATAGGTAAGACTGAATTTGATGAAACTAAGATGAAAAACGTTAGGTCGACTCAATTTTGTCGACTTTCCACTCAAGTCGACTTTCCGTGGAAATTTTTTACACGATTTGGCGACTTTAAGGCGATCTAGTCATATATATATATATATATATATATATATATATATATATATATATATATATATATATATATATATATATATATATATATATATATATATATATATATATATATATATATATATATATATATATATATATATATATATATATATATATATATATATATACATATATATATATATATATATATATATATACATATATATATATATATACATATATATATATATATATATATATATATATATATATATATATATATATATATATATATATATATATATATATATATATATATATATATATATATATATATATGCCAGCCATTCCAGATGATTTTTTTATAGTTTAAATATTTAAATATATTTGATGCTATTGTATAGAGCTTGGTTTGACTTAAAAAATTAGGGTTCATTCATCCTTTGAAATTTAGCTGAGTAAAAGTTATTGAACTTTTTGTAGTGAAAAAATGGGTGATTTTTTGACAAAAGGTATAGAGAATCATCTATTTTACAGACCAAGGGTTTTACTAATTTATATGTTTTTGGGGTCATACCGACTTTTGAATAACTTTTTGAATCGTTATTACATTTGACTTGAAATTTTCTATAGTGATCCAACAACTATAAGAAAATAAAAAAACAAAATTTTATATTCAAATATCTGTCGGAATTATCTATTTTACAGCCTGAGTGGTTTTATATTATTTTCTTATTTTTGAAGAATAAAATTTGTGTTCATATTATAATTATACCATGTGAATATGCATATAGGAATCATGGAATCCAAAAATATATCATTTGAAAACTATTGCATAGTTTACAGACTGGTCAGTGAAATAATCACAAAAATTACTGATCGGTCCGTAAATTGCTGAAAATGGACTATTCAAACAAATTAAACATGTTAATTTTTGATATTTTCAACTGTTATTTCATTTGACTTGAAATTTTCAATAGTGATCCAGTTTTTATTAAACCTGTCGGGATTATCCAGAATCGTTTATTTTAAAGACGATTTATAAAAATTATGTTAAAAATTTTGAAAGTCAAAGAAAAAACTTAAAAAAAAAAATAATACTCAAACCTACTAGAGAAGTTTAAACATAACTCAAAGCGCACGTGGCAAGTTTTAAATGAAATCACTGGTAACCATAAGATTAAAACAACCAAAAGCTATTAGAAACAATAATGATTTCATATATAATCCAAAAGATATAGCTAATCAGATAAATAACTATTTTGTATCTGTTGGTCCTAATCTAGCAAAAAATATTCCAGTTGTAACCAACAAAACAAATTATTTTAGCCTTCCCAAAATTTCTGTACTTAATTATTTTGAAATTTTAATGAAAGAATTTGAATAATGCTTGTAAAATGATAAAAAAAAATAAAGCGATAGGTCAGGACGAAATAAATAGTAACAATATTATATTAACTTACGAGATCATAAAAACTATACTATTCAAAGTATTTAGTTACTCAATAAAACAAGGAATATTTCCTGACCAACTAAAGATCGCTAAAGTTACACCAATATATAAAGGTGGTGAATAATCAAATATAACTAACTATCGGCCAATATCTGTACTCTCTGGCTTTTCAAAGGTTTTTTAAAGGATTCTTTACAACAAAATATATGAACATCTTTCTAAAAATAAAATATTAAATGTCAGTCAATATGGATTCAAAAAAAATAATTCCACGGAATACGCCATACTTCATGTAATTAATAATATAGCAAATTCTTTTGAGAAATCACAGTTTACTCTTGGAGTTTTCATTAGTCTATCAAAAGCCTTTGATACGATAGATCATGTGATTCTTATAAAAATCTTAAAAACTATGGAATCAGCAAAAATTTATTAAATTTGCTAAAAAGCTATCTAAGCAATCGGAAACAGTTTGTGCAAATTTACGTATCCCCCTCAACAAGTCTACTAGATATAACATGTGGTGTTCCCCAAGGGTCGATACAAGGGCCACTACTTTTTCTCATTTATGTTAATGATCTGCACAATGCCTCAAGTTTGAAGACAGTATTGTTTGCTAATGATACAAATCTTTTTCTATCCGGTAAAAATATCATTACACTATTTAATGAAATCAACATAGAACTAATTAAAATTTCAAATTGGTTTAAGTCAAATAAACTATCAATTAACCTGGAAAAAACTAAATGGACTTTATTTCATTCAAAATCCCAAAAAAAAATTTTTACCAAATGATATGCCTCAAATATATATTGACTATGTTCAAATAAAAAAGTCAAAAGTTATACATCTCCTTTGTGTTTTCATTGATGAAAATCTAACTTGGAAAAACCATATTGAAATTTTGCACTATAAAGTTTCAAAAAATATTGGAGTAATGTATAAAGCGAGAAATTTTGTAAATAGTCATTCATTACTTCAACTTTATCACTCGCTATTTCAATACCATATATACTATGGAAATATCGCATGGGGTAGTGCTAAAAAAATTCAAATAGATCCTCTATATCGGCAACAGAAGCATATAGCACGTTTAATAAACTTTAAAGATCTTTATACTCATGTCAAACCTCTTTTATTGGAAATAAATGTATACCAGCCTGTATACCTTAATATATACCAGCAAAATGTTTTTAATGTTCTTTTATTTATGTACAAATGTAAGATAAACCTAACCCCTATATCCTTTCAAAATTTATATGCAATAAAACAAAAAAACAAATATTACTTAAGAAATTATAATCTTATTTATCAACATTATTCTCATGCAAGTTTTGGAAGATCTCTTTTAACATATCGCGGAGCTATTCTGTGGAAAAAAATAGTTTTGAAAAATTTTGATTTTTTCCCAAAGTTGGAGTTTTCTTACTTTTAAAATTAAGTTGAAAAAAGTTACCTTGTCTATTGATAATATCTTTGAGTTCTTTTGAGTTTATACTTTTTAAAAAAGTGTGTGGTTCCTGAATATATTGTTTTATTTTAAAATATTTAGTTTTATATATATTCTTTATGTTGTTAAACGTTATTTTATATTTTGAAATATAAGGTTAAATTTAAATTTTATTTGAAATTTGATTTGAAATTTAAATTTTATTTGAAATTTTATATGAAATATCTGGTTAAATTTAAATTTTATTTTTAAACGTCATTTATTATAATTATTTAACTGGTTTTATTTTACTGTATTGTTAAACGGTTC